CCTTTTAGCACCACCGTCGCGTCATAACAAGTGTGATTGCGCCGACGTACAATGTAGATGTCTTGGAAACCCATATACTAGGTCTTGTGCAAAAAGCGATGTCCAGTCATCTTGAAACTGAAACTATATACCGGTAGTATGAGGGTAGGGACAGGGTGAGAGAGGGTAACTTAAACAAAAATCTTTTAGTGGGCACGTAGGAGAGTGGTCTTGTGTTTGTTATTTCAAAGAACGATGGTTAAAGAAACTACACTGTTCAAGAACTGTAACATTGTTGCAAAGGGTGATTAAGTATGCAAACAAATTACACTGTCTGCTTTGTCTCTAGATTTGCTGGAAATAGGTTGAATATTGAATATTGTCAGCTAACTGTTAACCCTTTAAAATGAATGCGATCGACTGAGACGAAGCTCCGCCCGCCTATGTGAATTGGAACGCACTATATCAGAGGGGTAACCTTTATAAACTGCATCATCTCGTTTGTCTCTAGAGTACCGGAAATAGGTGGACCCAATAAGTCGTGATGCCACTTGGACCCACTTTTTTATCAAATTTGTGTATAAAATGAAATATATGAATAAGAAACTGTTGGGTCATTACGTTATATATATATGTATAAACATATAAATAGTTGGGTCATAAAGACCCAGATACGAGGTCTGGTGTAAAATGTTACAATGTGCGATATATAGTTTTTGCATTTAGTTATCGGGAATCTGAAGCTATATATAGTATAAGGGGAGTAACCTTTAAAAACTACACCGTCTCGTTTGTCTCTAGAGTTACTGGAAATGGGTGGACCCAATAAGTAGTGATGCCACTTGGACCACTATTTCATCAAGTTTGAGTATATATATATATATATATATATATATATATATATATATATATATATATATATATATATATATATATATATATATATATATATATGGTTATTGAATATGTGAAAGAAAAATGCATACTGAAGTTTCAGAGCGGACACGGCACCACCTTCTATATTTATATAACATAAAAAATGACAAAGTTTGAACCCCCACAGTAACCTTGACCTTAGTCGTAGGAACCCAAGTCTTGTTCGCGACTCACCATACATTTATGTTTTTTTCATATATAAAAGAAAAATTAATACTTTCATGCATACTGAAGTTTCAGAGCAGACACTACCTCCACTGTCTATATGTATAAAGCCTGACAGACAGACAGACAGACAGACGGACAGTTCCATTTTAATATGCCACCCTTCAGGGGCATAAAAACATCTAAGTTCAAAGGGGAAATAATTCTGGAAATATTCATGCTAGAGTTATGAATCTTGTCACACATGTATATATGTATAAGGAACATATATTTTTAAGTTAGAAGTAGATACCTTAACAGGGAATTCCCCAGGCGCTTTTAGCGCATCGGCGCCGATGCGCTAAAATTTCAGAACAAGAAATCCCGATGCGCTTAAAATTATCATAGTGCTTTAAAAAATGACCGATATCCCTTTCTTCTGTGTCTATAAGTTAACCCCAATTAGCCAAATAAACAAGCCAATATACATGTCCTGTGTAGATAATTACCCGAGGCGTATACACAACCCGATACACTGATTGCCTTTAGACTGTGTGACGTCACAGACACCTGTCATCGATGTCTGCAGACGACTGTTGGTGCACTTTCAGGTGTTGTCAATTACCGTGTATTGAGATGGGTGCAATTTAACCGCGGCATGTGTGATATTTACATGTTTCAGGTAGGTGTAATAACTTTTATTGCTTTTATAATATAATTGGCATTAATTGACATGCGATATAACAGTTTGATATTTAGGGGTGAATGGGTTAATTGTCTTGATAGAAGTGTAATGTTCAATTTCATCTTTCACTTTCTTATGATCGTTACGTCTAAGCAGTACTGTAGTATTAAGATTTCAAAAAATAATATGTCTAACATGAATAAGGGAAGCCTAGTTCACTATCAATTTTAAGAGTTTTTTTTGTGAGCAATGTCGTTGAAACTGTCTCAGGATCATTTTGCTTTTTTTTCTTTTTTTACTCTTGGATTAAACTGCATAGATATTCAGAAATAAATTTGGTTGATGGCTACTTTAACATTGGAAACATTTACGACTGTTCATTATCAACTTGCAAATGAGTGAAAACAACAACAAAAACTTTACATCAACAATCCCACTTAGTGACAGCCAATTGGTCATTTTCTTTTTTAATTAAACATGTATCTTGTAATCTGTGTCTGTTCAGTGAATCCCAAAAATGAAAAAAATATTAACTTTGCAGGCCCTCTTTAATCGAGCCTGTTCATGGACAGCTTTGTGAAGTGCAATCTACTGTCCTACCCCTTAGCATTGGTTTGTCAGAACATACAGGAGCTGGCCAGGCACTTTGGTGTAGATATGGAGCAGTGCCGCAGCCACTGGCACCAGGTACGTGCCAGTTTAGAGGGGACTGATCAGTCAGCCGACCAGACCATGACCTGGATTACTGGCAACCTTTCTACCAGTCATCCAGCTCTTTACAGAATTGCTGCTGTGGGTCTCCTCCTCCCAACCTCTACTGCAGGTAAGCATTATTAAATTCATTCATTCTTGAACATTAATGAAATTCCAATGACAGTTGCAGATGTGTAACACTTTGCTAGAAGTTTTTCAACATTTCAAATATAAATTTTTTTACTTAGTTAAGTTTAAACAGGCTGGAAGTTTTAAATTTTCAAATATTCACAGCAAACAAACAATATAAATAAAAGACATGAGGTTAACATAAATGATTACTTTCATTTATTAATTTCAGATTTTGAGCGAGGATTCAGCTGCCTGAAGAGAGTTAAGACTGAAAACAGGAATTGTCTCTCTGTTAAAGTTCTAAACTATCTTCTTGCCGTCTCCCTTTAAGGACCCCCATTAGAATCTTTCAACTTTGAGAAGGCAGTCAAGGCATGGAAGGACAACAAACCTAGAAGACAGGCCCACTTTTAATGATGTTAATGAAGAAAAAACAACTGAAATATACTCATTTAAATGGGACACACACATACATATAAATGTTGATCACATGTTGTGAACTTGTGTTTATATATAATTGTTTATTTATTTGAATTGTTGGAAATGGAAAAAGTAAATAATAAAAATTAAGAAAATGTTTATCAAGTGAAAAGCTTTCATTATTTGTTTTAAAACAGCCCACAGCAGTATCTTGACACCTTAAATGGCAAAAATTTTCGACACGCGGTATGGGGGTCAAGACCCCCTCCCGCACCCACCCCCGTCTTATTAAAAAAATGTAGCGCTTAAAAAAAATCCTGGGGAATTCCCTGCTTAAGAAATAAAGAAGTAAGTAAAAAGGTAACCTTTTTGTAGGAAAAAAATGAGTTCATGGGGAGATAATTCTGGAAAAATATTGGTGCTAGAGTTAACAACATTGGCCCAGTTGTTCAAAACTTTTGTTAACTTTAACAACAAATTAACTAAATAGTTGTTAAATTTTAATATTTTCGTTAGCTAACGAAATGCCAGAAATTGAGTTGTTCAGAGCTGTGTTAATTTTTTTGTTAGTTAACAAGGCGTTAAAGTGCTTAACATTTTGTTAACTAATTAACAAGAAAAATTAATCCCACAATGCAGTATGTTTCTTTCCTCCACAAAAAACAAAATGGCCGATAACTGTCCACTTCAATAAGAAATACTTAGAAAATCAGCTGATGTACATTGTCTGCAAAATACAGATGAGTCATAGACTAATAAAATATGAAAACTCATGTAATATGATAAGTTTTTTTTGGCTGTTTGGTCATGAACATACTGTAACCAGAACCCCAGTATGTCATATCTACATGAAACTATGAATAGCTACCTTGACTGACTTGAGGTGATTTATTTCATAGTGTACAGTTTATACACAGGAAGACATATTTAAAGTTATTTTACCTTCATATTCTTTGTGTAATGCCAGTACTATATATATCTGGTTACTTTGTGATTTCTGTGCATATTACATGTAGAGCAGACTCCACCAGACTTGATCCTAATTTGATCCTAATTCCAAGTATCTTGTGAAGCATTTGACAATGTACCATACATTATATATGCATTCTGGTCTGATAAATATTAACCAGCCAGCCTGCATATAAAACAAACAGTGCTTGCCATTCATCGTTTTAAAATGTTCCCGCGTTTACACTACACAACCTTTTCCCACATGTATATTTTCCTCGTTTTTGCATCTTTATCAGTGTTTATTCCATAATGTTTGTTAAATCCATTTGTGAAATATCAAAACTGGGTGTTAAGAAACATGTTAGCCAAGTCTGAATGATTAATTCCATTTTAAAACACTTTTTAACACTTATAATTGTAGCTGTTGACAGTAAGCAACTTGCACTAGAAGCCATTTTTATTTTTAGCTGAACATTGCATTGTGGTAAATGATGAGTCAATTACGGGTCAGACTACCCTATTGTTTTTACTTCCATATGCTTATGTTATAAGCATGTGTGGAGACTAGGCTTATAATTTTATCATCGATTTTACTAAATAATGGCCCTTTGTTAAAAGTTTGTGAACTTTTTTTGTCTTAAGGATTATACATGAAGTTCACTAATTCAGGTCCACAATCATTGCATGGATTTTGACTTATTTATGAATATTTTCAACTTACAACTTGTATGGTTAAAATTGTGCATGCATCATCAAATTTCAAAACTGCTGAGTGTATTAAATGAAACAAAACTTCATTCATGTCTTGAAATTAAAATTCTTTACAAAGACCCATTACCTTGACATGGATTTTAACTGAAAAAAGCCCATTTTAACAGAATTAAATAAAAGCTTGTTCACAAAATTTCAAAAGCTCATGAGTGATGGTATATCTTGTCTTAAATCAAAAGACACCTTCAACTTAACATTTTCTTATCTTATTAATAAAGTTATTAATTGGCATTGTATTAACAACCAATTTGTATATTTGAGTCTGACTGGTTTGTGCATGCAAATATCAATAGGCTATCTTATTTCCTCATTTCAATAGATATGATGTCTTAAAATGTCTGAAGAAGAAAATGTTAAGTGTTTTTGTATATCTATCAAACAATTATGATATGAAGTATATTTAACAAATAGTATAAATTGCAGTATGCTATAATGCAAAGCAAGAATAGCATAGCATTAGGTTCAAAATATACACATTTACTCTCAAAATTTCAGCAATATGTAAGCCAGTTTATACAATTTTAATTTAATTATGTATATAATTATCTATATAATGCCTAGTGCTCAATTTTACCACACACAAGTATTGAGATCATAACTGTTAAGTTCCTAAAGATGTTCTTATTGTTTGACAGGTTTGCATGGTTATTTTACAATTATGTAGATGAAACTTTTAAAAACTTAATTTGGACATCATTTACATATGTATTTATATGATAGAGATTTTGACCCAAAACAGCACTATAGTTTTAACATTTTATAAGAATCACTATTGACTTGCATAAATTAGAAAATGTGCTTTGTTTTCTCTTCCCACCTACAATACAAAGTGAATTTGCCTTTTTTCCAAATTATTATTCTCAAAATTATGATATGTACAAATAAGATCTCAAAATTATCAAATACTCCACTGTTTACACATAATGCATGATGGCATGTTACTGTCAACATTAATATCATTGAATAATGTACAATTAAAGTCCAATGTCTTTAAATTTGAAATATAAAACTTGCTTTTAATGCACTCATATAAAAAAAGAAAATTAGAAGAAGTTTCCTACATAAATGCCAAACCCTAATTTATTTGAGTTGGAAAGGGGAGAAATATTTTTATTCATTTTGGCCTTATTGAAAATAATGAAATGGTTAATCATAAAGCTTTATATTACTTCCTATTTGAATCCATGGTTTATATAACATTTATATAGATGACTTAATCAACTCTCACATTTGGTAAAAAATGAAAATAATGTTTAAAGTTAATGAGACAGACTATTGTAAAAAATAATAGGAAGTTAAACACTTTTCAACATTACTGATATGATCAGTTGTTGTTCTATAGAATTTAGAAAGGGCAACTGCATGGTATTCAGTACTCTCAAGAGGTGTCCTTTTATGTATAAAATATTAATGTATGAATCCCAATATGAATTTAGGAAACTATATCATATACTATCTAAATGATGATAATATTATGTTATAATAAGTTACCCAAAACAACAATGTAAGATAACAGTATTGTAAACATACTACATAACTCTTTTTAAAGTAACTTAAAATGTGAGCATTGTCTGAGTGTAAATCCAGTTAGTTATAAGTATTGAACCATTGCATTACAAACATACTTTCTGGTTTCCAGATGATCATGGCAGTTTATAACTATATATATATAGTAACTACAATTTATCACACTGTAATACCACATTTGACAATTTATTATTTGGCACGAAACTGACATCAGACAAAAAAATACAAATAAACATATGAGACAATGGCCCTGTGAACGTTGCCTTTGCCTTGTTGATCTTTATTCTTGTTAAGTTGTTATTAAATGATTTTAATAAGATATTTAAAGTGAAGATTTAAACTGACAAAACAAACAAAAAACTGGCAATAGTTAACCAACCAAGTAGAAGGGTTTATGAACAAAGCAGTATGGAACCAGTGGTGTCAGATTTTGGTAATCAATCCTATACCGGTATATGGTTTTACACTAGCAGTACAATATTTTGTCAGCTTGTTACTCTAATGATCCAAAATAAGGTAGAATGAGGTAACTACATTTGTTAAGTGAAGTTCAAGAAAATCAATTAAATCACAGGCAGGAATAAATTTTTGTTTGTTTATGCTGAATTTAAAAGATGATCTTAATACTGATTATATTACTTTAAAACTTGTTTATCAGTATGACACTTGAACAGATTCAGACTTTTTATGAGAATTCACTTGTTTTTATCATTACCACATTGAGACTATTGATAGTAAATGGAACTTTCTCAAATTCCTGTGTAAATTGTTTCGAATCTTTTTATAATTGAGAATGATGTCCCAATGGCATTAAAATGTTAAAAGTGACTGTTTTGGAGTTGACAGGGGTAAAATAAGGGAACAAGCAACTTTCTGTACCACTAACAATAAAATTAATTCACCTATGGAGGTGAATTAATTTTCTTGTTAAATATTTGTTAAAGCCGATGTTTTAACAAAAAGATAACGCTATTTTTTTCTGAACAACTGATTTTTTTAACAAAGATATTTAACAAAAAAATTAACAACACTTTGTTAATTTAACAAAACTTTAACGTTAACAACGTTTGAACAACAGAATTGCTTAACAACAAAATTTAACACAGAATTTAACAATTTGTTGTTAATTTAACTATGAAGTCATTGTTAAATATTTAACAAAAGTTTTGAACAACTGGGCCATTGTCACATATGATGTAGTTGATGGTAAGGAACACATATTCGAAGTTTAAGTCAATCCCTTATTATCTAAGCTCTAGCTCTTTGGATTTTTTAAAAGAACATTTTATAAGGTTTTTTTTTTCGGTTGCTATGGCAACCAAAGTTCTGCATGGAACACTACTGCAAAGTTTCAACAAATTTGGCTAAGTGGTTTAGGAGAAGAAGTCGTTTAAAGAAATTTTTGACGCACGGACATTGTCCTCAGATGCGCTAATAAAAAAGTTAGAGATAAAATGTTTACTGCATATAAGCATTAATTTAAAGTATGTACGCTGGCGCCGGCTTACAAGCCGAGATGAGTAGGACAGCTCTCCATATATTTGATATAGTTGAGCTAATAATAAAAATATCACTTACCTGGTCACTTAGTTAAAAGTCTTGCACTAAAATTGCAGTAAATACAATGTTTTTGTTTTCTTCTTGTTTTTTAGCGGTTTTTTTTCGGGGTGGGGATGGGTAGGCAGTTCACTCAGCAACATGAGTAACACTGAACAGTGACACTTTACTATGGAAGTTTATTAATTACGAAGATGATTATCACTTATAAAGGTATATCCTAACATATAATTCATTTAGTAGCTAAAATTTATCTTGTGATATTAAGTATATTTACAAATAATTCAAATTATTGCTTCACTTGGGCCGCAGACCCAGAGAAAAAAACATAGATAAAAGTTAGAGTATGTTCAGAAATTTGATCCTTCAACGTTAGGGCCATTATATAAGAATACATAGGGCCAATTAATAATGACAAGACTCTCAACTCAGTTGACGTGTTAATGGGAGATATACAGTTAATAGTGATTTACTAGCTGATAAGCCCTTACTGAGATTCAGCAGGCTGGTAGGGTTTATGCGTAGGACTGTTTATACAAAAGTTTCTGTTACAAATGATTTGTAAAAAACACACCAGCATTTAACATTGATAAAAGAAACCATTAACGTGACTGACACAGTAAGAGCTATGTTTGCACTTTTACCTATTTTTGATAATTCATATGGATCGTAAGTGCTGTTTGCAATGTGTCTATTTTCTTTGTAAACTTCAAAATATTTTATTTTTAAATAAATTTTCAATATTTTCATAAGCATGCATGTGCCTATTAAATTTCATGTAGTTATGAGAAGAAATCATTAGAAATTAACTGAAGACAGGGTAAATAAACATTTGAAAGTTTGCAAGTTAATGTAAAAAGGTAATATTGAATACTACTGACAATCTTAGTAACCTTTCATTAACATTATACCTACCACAAAACATGGTTGCCACTTTTTTATTTAGTGAAAAACAAAATGTCTTTTGTGTCCTAATTTATCCATTCATTCAATTTAAGATTACTTTATAAACATTTTGGCTTCAACTTCTCAGCATACAGGACACTATGGCAGATTGTCTTATTGTAAGAGACTAATGGACCCTATTTACTTCGAGCCGCCTTTTCTTTTCTTCGTTAGATTTCAAAATTTAACTTGCAGTAAAACTTCATCAATATTTGAAACCAATCATGCCTTCGTCTATAATACCACAATGATATTGACCTATTCAAGTGTAAATTATTTTTGATGCAAAAAGTAAAAGAATGGACTAATGATGGAGTTGGGGGGTTTTATGTAATTCGATAACCAACTTTCCTCCGGTCCACTCAATGATGTTAACTTCTAACTACCTATATATAGTGTACATCAAGTATAACAACATTGTGACAAGTTTTAAATTTGCATTATTGTACTTGGAGTACTTCAATTGTAAACTGTGCATTGTTTGCTGTCTTATATAAGATATTTATCACAGAATAAAAAGCATCAACTTCAGAACAGCTTTCAGCTGATATAATATTTCAATGTTAAACTCTTATTTAATTATAATACATAAAACAACAATATCAATATATAATTATTTTGATTATTGTTCATCATAATTATACTGTTATAACAAAAGCTAAATAAAGTTAAGTGTGGATTTTCCAATGATGTCTATTAATAACTTCCTATCAATAAGGAAATAGTAAATTTTATAACACAATATATGATAATAACCTTACCATATCACTGATCTATAATAACAAAATTTCTTGAAATCAAAAAGGTAAAAAGGTATTTTTCAACTTATCATGGAAGTTCCAGGGAGGTGTATGACATTGCTGTTCAACCTTTTAGTTACAGTGAAGGCTATATGATTAAAGCAAGATAATATCATATCTCAACAAGAGCTGTCGGTAGGACAGCAAAGCTCGACTATTCTTAGTGCTTGATAGTAAAAAAAATGCTTGATACAGTTACCTCCTTCCTGTTTACAGGTTGGGGTCATGATGGTGAACAAGTGTGCAAAGTTTCAAAGCCATATGTCAATGGACTTTGAAAATATTTGAACTATTACAAAAACTTTAACGTAAATTCTAAGTCGAAAAAGGGGCATAATTTTGTCAAAATGCTTGATAGAGTTACCTCCTCCTGTCTACAGGTTGGGGTCATGATGGTGAACAAGTGTGCAAAATTTCAAATCCATATGTCAATGGACTTTGAAAATATTTGAACTATTACAAAAACTTTAACGTAAATTCTAAGTCGAAAAAGGGGCATATTCTGTCAAAATGCTTGATAGAGTTACCTCCTCCTGTCTACAGGTTGGGGTCATGATGGTGAACAAGTGTGCAAAGTTTCAAAGCCATATGTCAATGGACTTTGAAAATATTTGAACTATTACAAAATCTTTAACGTAAATTCTAAGTCGAAAAAGGGGCATAATTCTGTCAAAATGCTTGATAGAGTTACCTCCTCCTGTCTACAGGTTGGGGTCATGATGGTGAACAAGTGTGCAAAGTTTCAAAGCCATATGTCAATGGACTTTGAAAATATTTGAACTATTACAAAAACTTTAACATAAGTGGTTACGCCGACTCAGACGCCGACACTGACGCCGACGCCGACGCTCGGGTGACTACAATAGCTCTACTTATTCTTATCGAATAGTCGAGCTAAAAAAGTTAGGTAACTATAGAATGATTATATGTGACAGTGTTAAAACTGTCTTACATATGTAAACTGCCTGTAATTATTTTCATATCAAACTTTTATCATAATGTTTTTGACACAAGGATTCAACTATTATCACTTTAATTTCATAAATTATAATAGTAAATATGTATAAAAAAACCATCAGAATTAAAATGGAATCTAAAAATGCACATGCTTCATTATAAATGAAGTAATATAAAACAACATGTATGTATATTGCAGCAGGGCTTTGATTAAGTTCCAAGATTTGCAAGTCAGAGTCTGCAAAATGTCTAATATAGGAAGTCACAATATATAGGTAAAGAAGGAAAAGAATTATATTTTGTAAGTCACAAGCCAAAATCAGGGAGATAATTATTCCCAAACTTCCACTCACAAAATCCCTGTGGAAGCTGGGATATAAGCAAGTTCAGTAGGTAAATAGCTATCCTCTGATCCACATAAATGTTACAGTACAAACTTGTTATATATACTATTTTCTAATACTGCCAATGGTAACATTACTTTTCATTGGATATCCATGATGTTTATATAAACTACAAACATGACTGCTGTGAAGTTATGAAGTAATTTCATGATTTCCTCTAAAAATGAAGTTTATGAAGTTAGGTGTATTATTAATTATAATTTTACCACTGACTTACATACTTCATTTAACTACAGACCTATATACTTCATTATTTTACTACAGATTTACTTTTGAAAAAGCTTAAGGGACTTACTTTTACCACATTTGTTTTTTAATTCTAAAGCAACACATTATAAAATACTATACTTGTAAGCAAACTTCCAAGAAACTACATCTATGATGGAAATTAGAGGTGTCACATTTATCCGTTTAAACAGGTCTGGTCCGTATTTAACCGAAAACCGGTTAGAAAATTAAATAACCTAAAACTGAGGCTACTATAGGACCAACAGACAAAGAAATTTTAGATTGGTTTTTAACATTACTTTTGTTTCTTTATGACAAGATATAACATTTTGTTTGTATTTCAAATGTATTTTTTCAGGATTACATCTATCTTATTGTGAACTGTACAGCACTATCCTAACGGAAGACAGTTTCTCCATAATCAGATATGTTTAGTAATTGTTTACGAGTATAACATAATACGGACAAAATCTTATAATAAAAACAAAGTTAATAATTTAAATCAGTGCAAATATAAGTACAGTCATTTAAACGTTTAACATGGTTATACTGTGACACCCCTAATGGAAATAGTATATATATATAACTTACAATGCTGGTCCTCTAAATCTGTAATGTACCCTCCAAGCTCTTCTTCCCGAGCATGAGCTCTTTTTGTAACTGACTTTAAATCCTCTGACCTGCCTCTCTCAACACTATCTCGAGCTAATTTGGCAAGGTGTAACTACAAATATACAGTACTTCATTTATTCATATTTGTTTAGGTTTTCAAGTCGTATCAGCACTTTCATTAACTTATTGCCATCTTTTACCTTTAGTATGTGTAATTTTAGACAAAAAGGGCATTTCAATCAAATCACACATACATCTGTAACAGCACAAGATAGTTAAACTTACTTGAGACAAATAAGCAATATAATATGTTCAAGTCATTTAAATATTATGAAAAATTCTTTCTTACGTATTGAAAGACAAAAAATTCAAACACTACCTAGCTTTCAATCTGGATTAGCTCAATTCAGGTAAGATAAGTGAAATGGATATCATAGACATCTGAATAAGTTTAAGACTATTTTGTATAACTTACCAATCTAAACATCAAATGCAAATTATAAAATAAATACCGTAATTCTATGAATAACATACAAAAGGAGCAATAGATAATTAAGTTAGTTACCTCCCTTTCTAGAGCTTGCGAGTTGGCAGTGAGATGTATACATTCTTCTTTACTGTTGACAAGCTCTCTCTCTGCCTTATTTAGTCTGCGACGAAAATCATCTAACTCTGATAACAGTCTACTTCTTTCCTGTAATGTAGTTAATACTCTCAATTAATTTTATTCATGAACTAATTAATTTAATTCTTGTATTATGATATACATTGTACATCAATATAATTTACAATGTGGTTATACCATGATACCTTTTGATACAGAATATCCCATTTTTTAACTCAATTCCTGTGTTATGACATACTTGTACATCAAGAATGTTTATTTCCCATTTTGGAATCAAATTATTTCATCTGCTTTTTTTCCAGCACAAGGCAAACTAGAAAATCATAATATGCAAGTAATTGTGTGTTATGTTTATTTTCAGGATTCTACTGTATATAATGGTATTTACCCCATCTCTCTCTCGCCTCAGATTGTCCAGCTCAGATCTAAGTCTACTGGCCTCATTGACAGCATGACTTTTCTGTATCTTGGCATTGGTACTCTCTGCATTAAAATTCTCTGTAGCCTACAATAAACACACAATTCCATTAACCTTACCAGGCTAAATATGTTAAATGACTTTGTCCAGCATTCTGGACAAAGCTTTACTCATGTTTTTTTTGAAAATTCTAGAAAATTTTAAAATTTGTACTGACTAGAGAACAGTGCAGATCCTGATCAGATGATATGAATGTGGTGGCAGATTAAAGTCTACACAGGTCGTAATGGGTAGAATCTCTTGCTGCAAGCAAACTAAGGATTTAACTATAATATTATGTAAATACTGTATATTGTTTGTCATTCCTTACAATGTTACATGTCATACAATGTTTAACAAACTTATAAAATGGCTTTTTATCATGAGATATCCCATACATTTTCTTGTATAGCAAACTTCATTAAATATAGTCAGCTAACCATTCTTAAATTCTATTATAACAAAATGTTTTCATTTGTAAAAAACAACTTTCCCCAGAATAACAAATTTTGAGAATAGCATAGACAAGAGAAAATACTCATTGCCTTTAGTTTAAGCTGGAGAGTGATGAAAGCTTTTAGCTAATTTGTAACTAGTCTCAAGTTCATAAACTTTAACAAACCAATACTGATGTCGTATGAGGAAATTGTAGGGCTAGGACTCACTACTTCTAGGTTATGAGGTATATATCTAAACCCCTGGGCCACCTTCCCCTCATTGCCAATAAAATAATATCACTTTCTCGAATAAAGTCAACATTCAAATTAACTTATATTTAAATTTTCATACTAAAGTATGTAAAATTACAAACCATTGAGACTTCCTGGTCATATCTTTTAATCTGTAATTTAGCAGCTTCTAGTTGGTTAATGAGATCAACTTTATCTCTCAAAGCTTTCTCCATCTCATTCTGGGCAGCTGTCATCTGTTCTGTTAACTCTTTTATCTGTAGTGAATACATTACAGTGATTATACCTTCAGTATAGAAATTATCATAAACCTGTTAAGGCAACTATATAAGAAAATTGTAAATCATTGTTTTTCAATATAGACAACTGCTCAAGAAAATTGTAAATCATTGTTCATCAATATAGGCAACTGTCGCGTCATGACCGAGTGGTTAACGCGTTGGACTAGTAATCTAATGATTGCTAGCTGCATGGGTTCAAAACCAGTTGATGTTTCCTTGAGCAAGAAACTTACACTCATTGCTCAGTACTGGTTGGTTCCAGGAACAAATTCGAAAGTGTGTCTATAAGCTTTTAGCTTCCTACACAATCAAACTAAAATAAATTCTGTAAATGTATTAACCAACTGTTCAAGAAAATATAGATGAATGTTCAAGAAAATTGTAAATCATTGTTCATCAATATAGGCAATTGTTCAAAGAAATGTAAATCAATGAACGTTTGTGAAGGATGAACCCCTATCACAATCAAGGAAAATACTTTTAGGCAAACTATTACATTAAATCAAAAACAATTTCAAAGATACATACCAATTAAAATTATCATATCACCCATATATATATAAATGTATATTGATATTTTTGCATCAAAATATGAGAATGTCCTTTTTAAATAAGAATGTATTTTACCTTTGTATTTTGTTCATCAATAACAACCTTGCATTCTTTTCTAGCACTATCTTTCTCTTCATTGATCGTATGTTGGGTATTCTGTATGTGGGCATCAAATCTGCCCTTCATATTGTTTAACTCCTCCGCTAACTGTTCACGCTGTATCAATGCCTACACAGTTTAAGATAACATTTAATAAAATAGTACCAGTGTGTAAAGTACCCCTTTTCTTCATTTATTAAAAGACACCATTCATTTTCTATCCAGATTTATAAAATTAATTTTCTATGGTTTTTTATTCAAATATTTCATTCTCAAAATCCAAGTTTATGGAGACTTTTGATCAGAAGTAAAAATAACAATATTTTTATTTTCTTTCCCAAAGATAGAAGTAAACTTAAAATTAGACTCATGCAAACAATAAATAAACAATATCAGCAGAATATTAACCCTGACCATACTTATTATCATAAATGGACTTGCTCATTTTTTATTCTGGGCATAACCATTTATCATTTAAAAAAAAATAAAATATAAAAATATGTAATTTTTGAATAGCAAACAGTGCAGACTGATGGCATGGATGTGCTGGTTGATTTTGATCTGCACTGGTTACATAGGTAGAATCAGTTGTTAGCAGCAGGCTAAGGTTTAAATGACAGTTATATCCTTATTAACTGATGTGTTCATTGAAAACATTAAAATGTTCTGTACCTGGGTCTGTTCCATCTGAGCCTGTTCAACAAGCTCTATCCCTTTCTTCATCTGCTGATAAGCCTCCTCCTCTCTCTGTGACATTTCTGTCAGACGATGTTTCAAGGTTGCTACAACTTCAAGAAGGTCATTTCGCTCTCTAAAATGCAGGAATCCATGACCATTGTTAAATAATTAATAAATACATTATTTATTATAACTTATTACATCATATAGCAAGCTGACTCAACATCTATATGCAGAATCTTGGTCACTTGATAAAGCATAACAAAGATACAATATTTCTTCATCCACAGGCACAAAGAATTATTTCTAATTTTAAATTGGTATGATAATCAATTACAGTTGACCCTAAACTACATATTAAAAATAAGCAGAAGTGGCCTCAGATTTGACATTAAGATTTGAAAGAAAGTGAATACTTTGAAAGTTATGACATTTTAATAACAGTATTGAGTTTGCAGAACTAAACAACTGAAAATCAATAATAAACAATTCTACATGACTTGTATTGTTTGATATACCTGGTAAGTCTATCTATGGTTGAATTTTGTAGTCCCCTTTGTGCCTCAGACATATACATATCAACTAGACCGTCCTCATGTGTTGGTATAGCCTCGTGCATTCTCACCTGCCCTCGTAAATCCTCCACAATCTGCTCATACCTCTGTATCTCCTCTCTATAAATATACATGTTACAAATATAAAACTGTTCATCATACAGTTGTTTTGAAAGAAATATAGAAATAATAACAATGACTGGTACTAAAAGTCAATCCCTTACCAAGTAATGAAATTGGCAGCTGTTTATTTGTAAACCATGCTTATTTATTTTATCTTTTTTTTTTCATTTTGCAACAAATAAATATTATATTGCCCTGAATCCCTGATTGAAATATTTGGGGTTGAAAAAATGTTGCTATGCATGATACCCAATAAAATGACTAAAATTTCAAAAGTTACTATACTGATTTTTTTAAAATGATTATTGTTTCATTATTCAGGGATAGCGCGAACGCAGTCCCCACACAAATAAATTGCATACCCGAGTAACCCACATTTGGGGCTATCGCAGACGTCAGCCCAACCGAAGTGCAATGGAGGGGCCTCTTTCTGGGGAAACCGCCTTGCTGATCACGGTGTTCCCTGTACCAGGTAAGTATGAGTTGTACACATTTTCATAAGATTTTATACGACCACACAAAATAAAACGTTACGGCCATTCGTTTATCATATACATAGGCTTAAATTAAATCAAGTGCATTAATTATACTGATTCTTTGCCTATTTTCATTTCAATATCACTGAAATCTCTACAATGTCTTCTATAAAAAATTAAATATAAAGTCAGTATTTACAATTGTGATTTCACAATAAACAAAGAAAAAGATGAATTTTCAGCCAATTTATGCACTTCTAATATTTTCTTTCTTATTTTATATTTGTTCTAAAAATAGATTGACTAACAAGGCAAGTTACTCTTGTTAAGACTAATAATCAAGTCAAAACCTAGTTACCTTCAAAGGTCGCTGTACATGTATTTACAATACACTTTAAAGTATAATATACATGTTTGTATTTACGAAAATGTCAAAGTTTATCATTTTAGTATAAAAGTTAAAATAAAAGAAACAATTATCCATTAATTTTTTAAATGTAGATTAATTTTTAAACCTCGAAGTAAATACAGTTTGTTCAGTTCAATGGGTTATTAAGAAATTATTAAGATTTACAGTCACAACTTAAAATCACTTCATATTTTGATTCATGACAAAAAATTCTATTTTATTTTTGCCTTATTCTCACTTTATTTGTTTACCTTTAAATTATTTCTTTATTTCTAAAGCTGTCGGAGGCTTTTTCATTTTTCTTCTTGAATAGCAAACTTTAACATAGACAAGCAGTCCCTAATAGCAGTAACTTTAACAATGCAAGTAAATATTTAGACAGCTTATCACAAATTAAAGTGATAGTACATATACTGTTACAGTGCATACTTCAGTTACAATGATTTTCCTACTTATATAATAACAGACTCTGATAAAAGGCCTCTTCCAAAATGAAATTTTCTTGAAAATCATGCAGTTTTCCCAAAAATCTTAACTTAAACTAGCCTTTTTACTTCCGAAAAAATTAGGAGGTTAAGGCCTCTTTCCAATTAAGTGAGAAAAATCACTGGGTTATAGCATTACCATTGACATATCTTCATTTTTATAAGAAAAGACCCATCAAGTTTCCAAAAAATACTCATTTACCATATAGATCAATTACCTTTGCTTTATTTGCTCTGTTGGTGGTTGGTATAATTATAGTGAATTAGTATTTTGTATGGAAATCAAAATACTGCTTTGTTTACATTTTGCGACCTTTACCACACATTACTACACATTAAGTGCAACTGTTAAACTTTTAACAATTCTCTAAAGCAATTATTAGAACATTATTTAACACGTGTTTGACATATCTAAATATTAAATAAATTAACTGCTCTGCTCCTCAATTTATTTATAAAGCAACATGCTGACCCCAGTTTCCTTTGGCTCAATGTTTTTTTCTATCTTATAGATTATAATATAAATTTATTTTCATTGTGTACACACCCCCAGTCTTGGAATAAACTTAATAATGAAATAACATAACAATAGCTGTGTTAAAATATTCCACAAACTTGAAATGGAAGACACAATTAAGGCAACAGCTGCACTTGCTTATTAGTGTAAACTTACTAGCAAATTGGGTATACATGACTGTATAAAGTGTATATAAATGCAATAAGCTTCAACTTTGCCAATTAAGAACTTCTATTGATTGTATTAGAACAACTTTTGTTAACAAACAGTCCACTTTTTTAAAGACATTTCACTGATTTATAAAAACTGGATATTATTAAGTGTTCCTGTGCAGTTTTTACAATCACATTTTTCAAATTCTTTAAACTTTTTGTTTAAATGACTTTTACAGAAAGTTTGATAAACTTTTTTTTCAAATATAATAAATATTACCTTGATCCATATACATATTAATTTGTTTTTTTTAAGAGTTTGAGTATTGTTTCATTATTCAGGGATAGCGCGAACGCAGTCCCCACACAAATAAATTGCGTACCCGAGTAACCCACATTTGGGGCTATCGCAGACGTCAGCCCAACCGAAGTGCAATGGAGGGGCCTCTTTCTGGGGAAACCGCCTTGCAGATCACGGTGTTCCCTGTACCAGGTAAGTATGATTTCTACACATTTTCATAAGATTTTATACGACCACACAAAATAAAACATTACGGCCATTCTTTTACCATATACATGGACCTTATTTAATCAAGTGTATAAATTAAACTGTTTATTTACAAAATTCAATTTCGATATCACTGGAATCTGTACATTTTCTTCTTTTAAAGTTTAAATATAAATTGAAAGTGCACAAATGTGATTTTACAATAAGTACGATAAAGATGAAAATTTAGCTAATTTATGTCCATACTTAAAATCCTTACTAACATTTTCTTTGTTTATTCTAAAAATAGCTTTAGTCCCACAAGGCAAGTTACTCTGTATCAACTTCTTATCAGCAATACAAAGTTACCTCCAGTTATCAGTTATATACACGATACAGATTTTATCTACAAAGCAAACAACGTATTAATGCTTTCCATATTAATGCTTTCCGCATGATTAAGAACTGATAATGATGGACGTTCACTTTTGTACAGGATATGCATGGTTATAGACTTTGACTTTTTGATTTTCAAAGATAGAGCTGTGTAATCTTTCAATTACTTTGGCTACTTTGGCAATTACTTCCCATTACATAATTACATTCAATTACATGATTTTACAATGAAAGATGCCATTTACGACAATCTGTCAACTTTGTCCCTTTATATTATGTTTTTGTATACAGTTTATCAATTTATATTCTGTAGCATAATTTTATAAGTAACACTTCACATACAAAATTATTTTCAAAATGACTTTTCCACGACATTACAATGTTCAATATGAAGTAACAAATACATGTATTGAACATCTTCAAAATAGAAGCATATTGGTATAATAGCTTTAGGGTATAACAGTTTGACTGATAACCTATCACTTCTTTTGTTCTGAATTTGAAATGAAGTTAATAGATTCAATCTCCAACAAAGCAGGTAAATTTGTTATGATTGAAACATCTTTTGTACTGTAATGCTTATATGTAGTTTGTTTTGTCAGTCAAAACTTAATAGATATTTCTAATCTTCAAATCTAGATAAATTATAGTTTGCTTCGTTCACTTGAGCACTCATTAACAAATACTAATTATATTATTTTGATCAATAAATTTATTTAAACAAAGTATTGCTATTTCCCAGATTAAATGTTAATGATTCAACTAATATTCACAGAAAGCATAGTAATCAAAATATTGAACTGATTAAAAATAGAATGTGTACATCTCATATTAACTTTCTAGGCCAATGACTTCATACATAATTGCATAATTTATTACAAGAAAATGCCAAAAATGTCAAACTTGTTCATATTATGGAATCAGACAATAACACATTTTGAACATTTACCACATTTTCAAATGACCTTTACGCTATATGGACCCTTCAAATATAAGATGGTATCTAATACTTCATGACGATAAAATTGGTGAAATATCACATCTTTTTTTTGAATGAATGACATTAAAGATAATCTCAAGCAAACCTTAATTTAATGCCTGTACGTTTGACTTTGAATCTAATGACCAAATCCAAATTAGGTAATTATAGTTTGCTTCAATCACTGAGCATGTAATATAAAACTTATGTATATATTTTATCAATAATTATTGAAACAGTGTTGCTTTTCCACGTTAAGATCGAGTATCGACGACATCAACTATGAATACATAGTATCAAAAAGTATACCCTTTCGAAGGGACATAATTACACAAAGTTAAGGGTGGTAAATGATTAAATTACGATTACATTTGATTGAAAATGACTTTGATTAATGATTACTGTTGATTACTTAAAAATGTATTTGATAACAATCTTTACAATTACTGATTATGATAACATCATCCCGGAGTTAGTGGAACTAGACAGTAATAACTTCCAAGTAATGTCCAACAAATATAATTATGAAGATCTCTTTCAACTTTAAGAAACAGAATACTTTTGACGTCATTAAGCAGGAGAATCTAATTAGCAAAATAAACATAACAGAAGTATTACAAATATATATAACAAAATCAGTTTCACCTTGTATGTGTAAGTTGGGACTCCAACCTTTCTGTTTTAGCTGAATGGAGAGCACTCAATTTTTCCTGTAAAAATAATTTGATACAAGAAAGATTAGGTGATCATTGAAAAAAAACAAAAAAATTTAATAACAACACAAAAATCTTTTATGTTCCAATATTTATAATATTTTCCAAAAGGTTCAGTTCCTATGATTTTATCAAAGTTTGACATTTGGATAACATACTAGGGGATTGTTTTTAAAAAGTTTTTGTTGAAGTTTCAGAACAAAGACAAGTTGATAACAATATTTCGTTCATTTACTGGCCACATTTGTAAAATTTCACAATAAGCTACTGTTATAAAGCACTACACTTGTCAACAATTCAACTTAAATTCAATTTTGAAGTTTCCAGTGGACATTTTAGAAAGTGATATTTGCCTGTTTTAATTTCTAAAATTGACACATACAACTTCTTAGTTCTCAATCTAAATGTAGATTATAGGAAAACTAGTGAATTTTTGTCAAGTGCTAATTTCTTAAAATATTCAACGCCCACTTCAGCTTATAAGTCAGACAAAAAAAAACCCATTTGAATTAATGCTTTGAAAAAGTCAAAGGTTTAGCTACTTCATAAGAGAGTTCCTAAATTCTGTTCTATTACCAACTAGTTCTATCACATATGATAAGTTACTGCCAACTTCCTCACATAAATCAAATATAAATATGATTGCTGTAATAAGTTTCCTAAAACTAGGAATAAATGCATACCAATTCTAACTGCCAATGTTTTACATTTCCTCTAGGTAAACTGGCATCTGCCTCCAAAGACCTATCTATATCAGTGGTAATCTGTAATAATAACAAAAATAACTATCATATCAGAACTTTACACATATCATGGAGCTAAATATACATATATCTGTGCACATATTAAGGAATAGGTTATATCAAATTATCAACAGTGTTCAGTTTCCTTAATGGAAGAGCAAATAACAAGCATCTGAGCATCACAATTTTAGAACTGGAACACAGAGTTTTAAAAATTCAGATTTTTTTGATTTTTTTATATTTTAAGTCACAATGATATGAAAATTATGTAACGATTAATTAAAGTTTTAAAGTCATCTAAATGTTGGGAGAATCAAGGTGTCACTTTTATTCCCTTGAATAAAATTCTTTACATGTATACAAATTACAAATTAGAATAATACAGATATTACAATTTTACCAAGTACATACTTTCTGAAAGTCAACATCCAAGTTTATCTCTTCTATAACACTTTTCTTGAGCTCTTCATGGAGACGCTGATTCTCTTCTAAAATATCTCTTATCTTTATTCTTACTGTGGCAAATTCATCCTGTAATTTGAGGGAAAATCATTTTTTTTTTTGCATCAGTTAAAAATAACCACTCTTTTCTCTTCACTAAAATTTCATCTCATAAAGCCTATATGGTTACATTTGACTTTCATGCAAATTATGTTAAATGTAAAAATAATTATCAAAATGATTTTTGTTTGCTTAATTGTTGCCAGTTTTAAAGCCCTAAAGACAGCATTTTATTCATTTTTATAGGTACATGCATAGAAATACATAATAAAAGAATGGAGCTGTATAGTCATATAAGAATGTTTTAAACTTGACCAGCATCTACTTTTCAAATCCATCTTCACACAGGGAGATTCCTTCCTTTGACTAAGAATAAATCTTGAACTGTTTTTTGTTTTACTTACAAATAATACATAGTTATAGTGATACTACCTTCATATATCTATTTTCAGCTTCAATCTGGTTAACATATGCTGTCTGTTGTTGTAAAAGAGAAGCAGTTTCTTCTGGCGAGGGTAGTGGCCCTCGAGGGACACTGGGAGGCTGGCTGTATCTCGGAGGAGATTGGAACAATGTCTATAATAAACAAATTAAAGTAATTTAACTTTGATACCTTTTATTGTACATTTGTATTAGATAAATTCATAATGCTATAATAATTTTTGAGTCGCTTATTCATAACATTGAAAAATTTCATTTGTGTATTGACAAGAATGCAACTTGTCTGCATTATAGTATTTATGTAAACATGTACATTGCAATCATTTTAAGAATAAATAAAGCCTTAAATTTAACCAGGCTTTCATAAATTAAGGTGAGTTTTTCTTATACTTGTTAAAAAAAATGCTTGTCAAAAAAAATGCTTGTCTTCCTCTTCATCTGCTGAATGTTCTTTTCTGTAATGATGCAATAACAACTGCAAACTTTGGCAGCTCAATGTGAGATTTCAGCAACACATAAATAGAGAAGCCACTAAAATAATCTTTCATTGAGGAATGGTTTACTTTTTCACATACCTGAGTATCATCTTTAAGGATGTGTTGAAGGTGACTAGCAGCATCTCTATACTTTTGTGGTCTGGCCTCAGACTCATACCAACGTAGATTTCTCGGATGGACAGCAGCAGTAAGCTGTTCTTTGGCTCGTGTACTGGTGTTTAAAGTTGCATTTGGACTATGTGTTAATATGTCATCCAATTCATGTAAACTGGCATTAGCTCTCTCTGTTTAATAAAATATGGCATTAATGAATTAAAGCTAACAATAAATAAAATAGGAAATTGATCTTGGTTTTGAGTACACTGTTGATAATATTGCATGGTATGGAGTTCAGATGCACAGTAATATAATCACAAAGGCTGTAAGCCCAAGTGAGTAATTATAAACATCTGAACAACAGACATCTATGAAATATCAGTGCGTAAAATCGGTCAATACTGAAGGACAAATATTGAGGCTTTAATCTAATTGTCTGTGATAGATTCTATCTGTATCATAATTTAACAAGTAAATCAAGAGAAGGAGAGAATACACATCAAACAGGGTGTTTTGTAAACTGGTTTATTCAAGGATCTACTGGTTTCGGTCTTTCAATGACCTTCATCGGATGTATCATATTTTTTAAATCGGTTTTGGCATATGGTTTTTCATTCATTTAAGGGAGCACTTTTAGAATCTGTCCGCAGCAAAATCATTGTTTTAAAATCCTAACCCTAACACAAATCACTCTAACCCAGGTCCCTCACTCTAAATCATAACATTTACCCTTACCCTAGCATTAATATGACTATGAGTAGTCTAACTAATAAGACTTGTCAAAGAAACATAGAGATAATTTTGAATGGGCTTTCCAAGTCCAACCATGAACTGCATTTTTCTACACGGACACCGCCCAATTAGAAGTTGTTGTGAGCAATAACCAGCAATGAAAGGAAGAAACGGCCAATTTTACATGATAGATATCTGTTTTTTAAACAAATTCCCATGATTTCACTTTTAAATACATAACCCCACTTAATATATCTCTCAACGGTAACCTGGTTTTAAATCTGCCGTCTTTAATAGTAACAAATGCATATGCAGGATTTTTTCCTGAATTTCGGGAACATGATCCATATCCGTAGTATTGGGAATTTCTGCAACGTTTTGGTAAAAATTTGAAAAAATGCTTGACTGAAATTTTGCAGGGATTAATGAATGCAAACACTCACAGTCTAGGATGGCATCTTGATTAAATGAATGCAAAAAATCACTGCCTAGGATGGCATCTTCAAACATTTAAGCACTATTACAATAAAGGAGCCCTTATTTGAAAGATTTTAGAACTTTTTATTAAGTATTTTTATTTTGTGAATATTTTCCTGTGGGTTGGGAAAATAATATACTATTTTCAATTGGGAATATAAACGAATATCAGCTAAAAAGTAAGCCAAAACAACTCCATAGTTAACTAAACATTACCCCTCTAAATTTTCAGTCTACTCTAGTCTCTAGACCTGCCAATATTGGAGACTGGCGACCAGTAAAACTTTTTTTTCATAGGTCTCTATCACTTCTATTTATTCCTTCTGATTGCTTCAGTAAAAAATAAATTTTATTGTCTTTATATTGTCTCAATTATTTGCCAATCTAGATGGACCTAGTAAGACTGGATCTGCCATATTCATTTTATTAAAAATTATCATGACATTAAATTTTCTTTACGATGAGGACATAAAATGTCCCCAGATAGTCAAAATATATCGACGTGCTAAAGCTAGATTCGGAGATATTTTTGTTCTGGGTCAGAATCTCGCACAATATCTTATTGTGTAGTACAATTTGTTGGACTGCTAAAGAAATAGCTTGCAATTCAAATCTTAAATAAATGGCTTGTATGCATTCAGAGAACTGTCACTGAACAAATTAATTATTTAAATGATTGCTTGAAGATCTGAAAGACGTTTTCTGATTTTATGCCTTAAAATCGATTCAAACTAGCAACAGTGTTGCCAATAAATTTTCCATAATTAAAAATGACGGTTAAAATTAGAGGAAACGGTTTGACATTAAAAAAAACAACAGTAGGTTAAATGGGTCAAACTGTCATGCTTTAAAATCAATTAGGCTAGACTGTACATAGAGAAACATAAATATTGAAGAAATAACATTTGCTAAAATAACGTTTAAAATACAGGCACGATTATCAGACATGGGAAGAAAAAATATGACCAGATTGATAAAAAAAACTGTGTTCACATTAAAAGTGTAAAAAAAACAACAACAATTTACTAAATAATATTACTAAATACATTAAATGAGACCACTGACAACTGTCAGTAGCATCTGATACACACGAGATTCGAGTTTCAAACATTTACACAGTCTTTCAATCGCTTCGAAAGCCATTAGGCATCCTTGTGTGAAACGTTGCAGTTTCGTTGCTATTGGTCAATCAGAAGACTCGTTACAAGGACCAGCTGATTTACAATGGCACGGAAAGGAATCTAAAGACTGTTGAAAGTATTGTAATTCGAATTTCGCGTGCATCGGATGCTACTGATGCCAGTTGTGAGCGGTCCAACTTAATGTATTTAGTTATATTATTTAGTAAATTCAAATGATTTTGACCCGTACTCAGCTGGCAAACATGTATTAGTCTATGTTTACGTACCGAATCGTTGTGCCGCAATTTTGTCTACCAAGGATTTTTAGCACGAATGCGCTCGTTTCCTAATAGATATTTCATGAACAGGAAGGGCTACACACCTTGGGTCAGTCTCATTTGGAAGCTTAATACAAACATGAAATAGTGATAAAAGTTTTTTTTTAATTGTCTGGACAATTGTTTTCACAACGGCCCGGGAAATGAATCCCTTGCTTTTAGGCTCGAATCTGGAGTTTGCCACCTTCTCTTAACATATAGTATATTTTTAAAGGGGGTCATAATTTACTCTCTTTTTTGGTTTTTGACACCTTAAGGCTTTAGTTTAAGATGAACAGGTTTTTTTTTTATCAATCTGATCATATTCTTTCTTCTCAGGTCCGATACTCGTGCCTGTTGTTTAAAATAGCTGCGGGGAGATTCTAAAGTCTAGCCAATCTGAGCATCAGTGGTCACATTTATTTTTATAACATTTATTTCATTATTTTACCCGATCTGTCCATTTTACTGAAAATCTAAAAATTATTTGACAAGCTTCTGCTTGCCATTGATGTTGCTAACTACGAAGTACATGTTCTTTCTTAGGGATAATCATCACATTATAATCACAGAAAATGCTACTAACCTCTAACTGCGCGCTGATATGCCTCGTTATCATCCTCAGTAGATGTATATGCGTACATTTTATCTTCAATGTTGTTTTTTTTCCAGTTTAATTCAGCCGGAAGTTTACATCGTTGGTACGGTCTTCGTAAATAAATTATAAGTATATTAATTAAATCAGCGCGCTGAACACCGCTAAATGTTCATAAGACACCGCTGAATGTTCATAATATAAGTCGCCTTGGTCAAGAACAGGCACAATTTGTTTAAATATTCAAAATAAATTTGATATATCAATAATTATGACAATAAATAAATACATAAGAAAAGAAAAGAAAAGTAAATAGAATCTAAATGAAAAAATCTCCGTTTCGCGCTTGAAAATTTCCATCTTTGCTTATTTGATTTTATTAAACAATCTTTATTCAAGTATTAAACTTATAAGTCTCGTAACTGGAATTCATCAGAAATTGTCCATTTTTGCCATCTTTTAGAATATGATATTTTCAACCTTGTCTGTCGTGGATTAAAAAAAAATCTTCTTTTTTTCAGGTCATTTACCATTTACTACTTGTAATTGCATGCTGTCTTTTGATTTCAGTCATATATAAACCGAAATTGTGATGGTTTTACATTGAATAATAAGATGTACAGAGAAAGATATTATATAGATATTAGAAAAATAAGCTTTTAAAAGCATAGTTTATCATGTCAGATCTATACCATGTATACATTTAAGAAGCGATATAAGATTTTTGCGACTACATGTGTATGAAATGTTTTTAAATGATTCATACAATTGATAATAATACAAGAAAAAATAGACAAAAAACAATATCATCAAGGAAGGGCGGCGTTCAGTGAACGCAACCCCCACACGACCCGGCAACACAGGACCACTGGCAAGGAGCCCAGCAGGCCCCAAACAAAACAGGACAGGGCACAAGGCAAAGCACAAGTTTTATACAAAGCAGTCAAGATTATTTGTGATTTAATTAACCCCACCCCACTTTAAAATTCTCTTTCATTTTACAACATGTATCAATATGATGCAAAATACATTTTTTAAATATTAGATTTGTTTGAAATTTAAATGAATTAGAAAGAAAAATAAATAATAATAAAAAAAAAAATGGACGAACACAATATATAGAAGATATTCAAGTTTTTTTTTATAAATACAGGATTTATTTTCATCGAATGGTATGAAAATAAATATTTCATTTTGTGTCCGCAACCAAACAACAGCTCAAACAAAACGTTGGTTTATTTTTGGAACCTTTACGATAGTAATGCCTTTTGAATCAGGTCAATTGCAATCAATCCATGGGGCTTGTGAAAGTAAAAAGCATCCATTCCCGACAAGTCTAGAAGACGTTACCGAGAATTGTGCGAAGGTATTTTCCAGTGTAAAGAAAGTTCAGGTTGTTATTGGGAATTTTGTTAAGAATTTGTGAAAGATGAGAGCTTGTAAAGTTTATTTGCTTTGTGGATTATGAGCAATAGGACATTGTCATTCATCAATAAAGTTATATCTTTATACATGTATATATATATATATATATATATATATAATATATATATATATATATCTGCACTGAAGATGAAAAATATTGTTTGTTTTACAATGTTTGAATGTTGGCATCACATATTGAACTTCAAATTATGATTTTACCTCTTTCTCTTTGCACACATTAATACCAGCACATGGATAAAATGCAGAGTTATAGCCAATAAGCTTTGCTATCTCAAAACTGGATCTCTTCTCGTCGTGTAAGGCCATTGGTTAAGACATTGAATAGAAGAAGTAAAAAAAAATGAAACAAATCATGCCACGATTAAGGGGCATATTTGGACAGTTTGGAAATAACGCCAAATCCATTAAATATTATCAATCGTTATGAAAAACCATATAACAGACAGCACCACGAACAACTTGATAGGGTTTATTTTATGCTTCTATGCTGATTCACACAGTATATAGAGAAAAAAAAACACATTTTTTTCTTTAAAATTTGCAATAAAGCAAAATGGTATATTCCCAGCGTTTCTGTTTCTATTTATGTTCAATTTTAGATAAAGTGAAATAAATACATTTGTAAATAAATAAAACTTCTTTTGAGTGAGCCTGAGGCATTGAATGAAAAGTTATAAAGTTAACTCTTGTTTAAATATTTTCAAAATAACTTTATTACAGGTATTGTTTAATGTTTGTTATGTTTTTGTTTTTACATTTTTATGCACTTTGTATGTATTTTGTCTACAACAAATACTAATTGAACGTCATTATTTTGGAGAAAACTTTAACGAGCAGTGTAACAATACTAGAATGTTTAGGAAAGAAATGGCACCACTTAGAACTTTGAGATTAGTTCAAGCCTTGGCAATACAAATACTTTAAGCGGATAGGATTAATTAACACTTTTTATGTCGAGACTCTGACTGGCTATTAAACCTGTGTGTTAAAATCAATAAATAAATAAATAAATGAATAAAAATAAATAAATAAATAAATAAATAAAAAAACATACAAACAAACAAACAAATAAATAAATAAATGAATAAATAAATAAAAAATAAATAAATAAAAACAACAACAACATGAACACAAGGTATGAGCTTGTGTGCAAGAATTTAAACATTTTTTCGAGGAAAATAGATTCAGCATGTTCTTTTCCCAATTTAACTCGTTTTTAAGTTATTTGACAGATTCATTAGAAAAAAATAAAATAAATGAAATAAAAAAGAACTGTAAAGTTTTTTTCGTGATAAGATTAACTGCATACTCGTATAATTAAAGAGGCATGATTGTGTTTTCCGAGTAAAACTTCGATGACAAACGTACATACGTGCTATCTAGTGCATTGAAAAGATAACATAAAAAAGGAGCAAAATATATAAATAAATGAAAATATATCATAGGTCGCGAATTGTGTGTACTTTGATATAAAGGGTATAAAGCTATATATAATGAAATATTTTTTTATAGAATTATTCAACAGTAAAATTGTATTGTTTCCATAATATTATGGTCCATTCCCGAAAAAGTTTTAACATAGAATGTCTCTGTTAATTAACACACATGAATATAGTACATAAACAGAATTTCTATTTCTCTTTTATACAAGCATATTGGAAGCATTTTTTCAGCAGATATATAGCTTTATACACTTTTAAACCGTCGGTAATTGTCGCAATTATCAAGAGCCTAACAACAATCATTTTCAGTGTTTGTTGTTTTTTTTTTCGTATTAAAGGTGTCGAAAATTAAAATTAATGAAACAAAAAAGGATTATTATCAAAATTTTGTTAACTATTTCAATTGGTGTAAATGCAAGCAAAGGCTATTTTTTCTCGACATCTTGCGATGACAAATATCGATATATATATAGCGATCAAGGCTAAACGCTTAACATCCGAAGACAATTAATGCTGTTTCTTGGTTAAAATCCTTGCTTATTGTCATAATATAACATAATTATGCATTTTCGACTTCCATAAAATTTTGAAAAGTGCCGTACGGCTAGCCAATATACAGTGTGTCCTTGCTAGTCGTACGTGACTCACGTACGGCTAAAACTTTTGGCTAGCCGTACGGGTCCGTACGCTAGCCACTTCCATTATAAAAAACCCTACTAAAACGTGTTCTTAATAGTACATATAATTAAATTTTTGAAGTTTGATTCTGACTTTCAAATTTAAAGGTGTGAACATATGTTATAATTGATGTACCCATTTCAAAAATATAAGCAACTCTTTTGAAAAGTAAATGTAAAAGTAATGTCTGTCAACGTATGATGCTGGGCATTGTTATCGTAGCCTAATATTAACTGCAGGCAAATCATTTTTATTGGCTGCTCAAAAATCTAATTTGCATAATTTATTCACACACTTGCTGGTTCTTACTACTTATGTCTAATACTGCGCATTGTCCATTTTAATTGTTCCTAATTTGCACCAAATGTTCCTGTCACACTGTGTACTGACGATTTTTATTGCTCCTAGTGTGCCTCTGTGCCGACAGACCTTTTGATCATGCACAATGTTGCCCTGATTGGTTAATCACCCATGTCAAATATTCTAATGACGAAATAGACATCTATTTTTTTTACGCTTCATCAGTGAACTGAATGACCTTAGGGGGGTGTCAGACTATTCTCTCCCTTACCAGTTCCTCCCCTGACGTTTCCTCCCTGACGGTTCTCTCCCTATTTTGGGGGAGAACCGTCTGCATATTTGCAAATAAGCAGACAGTTCCTCCCCATTTTTATTAATACTATTAAGTATTTAGATGTTTAATAAATGGATAAGTTTATTATTAAATTATAATATTAATTGACATAAATAAGAGAAATATATTTTATTTGAGTATTTGGATGTTAAATACATGGGCATGTTTATGATTAATTGATATAGATTAGATAAAAAAAAATATTTTTAGCATATTAGTAGTATATTATTCTGATTTTTTTATTAGATCTAACGTATACTTAATAATGTGTTTAATTTACTTGATCAGGATAATGATTCGATACATGTATGTGTATTTATTATTGGGTGAGTTTTTTTTGGTTTTGTTTTTTATTAATAAATAAGAAAAAAAATATAAGAAAAACATGATTTATAAATTTTAATTGCTAAATTTCATACTTTTGTATAATGAAGAAAGGAGTTCAATACACATGTGCATTATGTTTGCTGTCAGAGATAATTAAGGTGTTTATTAATTCATTATTCAAAAATCAAGGTGTAATCTAATGATTAAAATAACTGTGAAAAGGTGTTGATAAACAAATATCTAAATTAGTTATTTGGTAATATATATATTGTTTCATGTTAATGACTACATGTTCTTTAATCAATTTTGTATATAAAAGTAGATGTGAATTTATTTTATCTTATTTATGTGATTGCATACCAGTTGTTGCTTATTTATTTTCTATAACATACTTGTTACCACCTTATTCGCTATTTAACAAATTAATGAATATCACTAGACCTTCACATAATGACAGGTGTATGTATATCAATCACTGTCCAATAATCTTAACCTCTCACAATGAAGGTGTTAATAGGATTAAAATATCTGAAAAAGGTGTTAAATTTACAAACACTTTTCAGAATCAAATACACACTTTACTTAATATCAAATACATTCTTTTAAAATCTTCAAGAAATATTATTAGATTAAGTCAAAACTAAAATGATAACTTACAAATAAAAATTGGGGGAGAACTGTCTGCATATTTCAAATTTGGGAGAGAACCGTCAGGGGAGGAAACGGTTTGGGAGAGAACCGTCAGGGAGAGGAACTGGTAAGGGAGAGAATAGTCTGTCATGGAATTAGGTTCCACACCTGTCAGTAAATTACAGCACGTCATAAAATAGCAACACATTTTTTCAGTTACCAATAATCATTTTAAATATAAAGTAGATATATGATTTTTTGTTTTATTGGATTAAATTTACGGTAGTAGAAATGCGTATCTGTCGGGGAAAGGAATTTGGTAAGTAGATAACGTGGAAAAAAGCTTTAGGGAACTGGATAAACCCGAGTATATGCGTAATTATAGGGGAATGGGCAACCTGTTGCTGTTGGTACCAGTTTTGACTGGGTGCCTAAATAACCTAACGGACAGTTTTGTTTTCATACGATATTAGTCTGGCTGCCGATTTTCCTGCGCCATTCTCATTTTTAGCGTCAATGGCGGAAAATCGCGTCCTCAGCATATTGGATTTAGTTGATATTTTACCTGAAAAAAAGATACATGACCGGCGATGTACCCTATTTGGACAGCTTGTCTAGCGAAAATTAAGTACAAAATAAAAGGATATATCGTCAATTTGAAGAAGTTTTTCATAGTACCCAAATGAAATTTATTGTTTATCTTTGAAAATTAAGCAGTCATTGCTTAAATCATGTGGTGGGATCATCAGCAAGCTTGAATATCGGACAAATGATAATTAATGTCGCGGCGTCTTCAATTAATTAATTAAAGCAATTCAGTTCCATATGATGTTTTCATAAATAATATATAATGTACGCAATAATATTAATAAGTTCTTCATCAAGATATATTTCAGTTGTACCAGCGTGTACACCTATACCGGAAGTGGGTATAACACGTCACAATCTCGGTCTCGTCTGTCTCGCGAGAATGACAGAACGCCAAAATGGCGGCGCCCATGAACTTATTTCTCAAGTAAAAAATAGTGTCTTAAAACACGAATTTCTCTCTTATAGGGTTGATGTCAATAGGAAAACTGTCATTGTTCCTCTTTTTAAATGATGAATATTTATATTAGACAGACATCAATCCATCCATTCCTATTCCTTTAACATTTATTTTATACATTTTATTCATCCAGTTTTAATTGAAAATATTCAACCAAAAAGGCGTTACGAGAAAAACCTAAGTGTTCTGAAACCAATTAAAACATGGTGATACTGTAATGAGGTAAACAATGCAATATAACAATAGGTTATCTTGTTCTAAAGCGGATATTTCTTAATGCAGGTATTGATAAACTTGTTATATTTGATTTATCATCTTTGATAATTCCTTAGATAATGTTCCATTATTTTTATTTGCTGCTCATAAAACAGATGGCTGGATATGAAAGCCTCTAATTATATGAAAAGGAACGAATTGTTATGAATTGGATGTTCCTGAAACACTTCAAAATGCGGCTGTACAAACCATGGAAATATAATTGCAATAAACATATAAGTCGTTTTTAGACTTGCTAGAATATAAGAAATACCGAAGCTTTTAAAATGAAGGTTTCCACAAAGCTAGATTTTGATAAAGGAAATTAATAAAAACGGAATTGTTAAAATTAATAACGAAGGGCCGAAATGCGTGTGATTTCTACGCTACGACAATGCAAGGCGAAATTAAACTGATATAAAAACATAGTAGACTAAAGAACATAAAAATAAGGCAATAAACTATATAAAAAAGTAAATATTTGAAATGGAAAAGTCAGAAATTTCCGAAGAAAATTCCATAGAAAATGTGGATATATTAGATGAAAAGGAGAACATTGAGGATATGAATATTGAAACAGAGACTCGATGTCAGTCTTGTCTTCGTGTGTTCATAAAATGTTTGAGGCGGTTTATCGCCTTTTTGTTCTCGCATGTTGGCCTAACTTGTCTTGTGGTTGGATACGCCATTCTTGGTGGAATACTCTTCAAAGCCGTTGAGTTGCCTGAAGAGAAGCTGATCCGACAAGACGCTGTTGATACCAAAAACTCTTACGCTAGAAAAATTGTAGAATTATTCGACGGCTCGGACATTCAAAAGGTCTTGGACAAACCTGCTCTGAATAGACTAGTGGATGACTTGTTGAAGGAATATCAAGATGAAGTATATGTTTTTACCGAGGAAAGAGACTGGGATGGACGATTTGAAGGGGACGATTTTCAGTGGTCCTTTGCAGAGTCCCTTTTATATTCTGTTACAGTCATTTCAACCATCGGTAAGATGATATCAGTTATTTATGAACATTAACATTACTTTTGATTTCATAAAGACGCCATGTAGTACAAATTTAAATAAATAGTGTTCATTATAATCTAAGTTTTGAAATATGTAAAAAATAACTTCAAAGTTATAGTATTTTAAAAAATTTAATGTGCTTGCAGGTCTCAAGTAAATTGATAATAGCGTTATAAAAGAACATAATGTTTTCGTTTCCCCCAATATTCTTGCATTTGGTAAATGTTATGTTTGTTGCAAAGAAAAAAATTATTGTTGGAAAATATATTCTAAGATTTTGTTGGATTTTCTTTTCTCATAAAAAGGTCTTTGCATAACACCAGGATAACTTTGAAAAATAATTTTCATTTTGAGAAAAAGTCTGTTTTATTGTTTTTTCTTTTACGATTTGCATGTGATGTAATAACATGATTTATAGGTAACTTATATTTAGTTATTGCTGTTTAGTCTCGATATATTGCATATTACTCCCCAATGTTCAGCTAATTTCCCAGAAACAAGCATACTTTAAAATGTAAAACACATGGTCTCTGTTCATTTCCATTTCTCTCAAGTTAAATATACACGCATGAGGGTCTTTCAAAAGACTGGCTATTATCGCTTTATTCTTTATGTGATTTACAGCGTTTTTATTTATTGATGCATATAATTCAAAATTAAATACTATGAAAATGTGATTGCATTTCATCAGTCAAATTATTTTTTTTTATTATTTATAAAACTCTTTTTGTATGACTTAATTGAAATATTTTGCATTTCGTGACAATATTTACAGATGAAATTTCTATCAAATGATACACAACGGTATACGGTATCGTACAATCACACAATTTTGACGTTACCGTCAGATTAGTTGTTATGTTTACATTTAAGCTGTTGTAATTGGAAAGTATATAAATACATAATTATCTAAAACAACTTGATTACGAACCAATAAAAATGTCTTGTTAACTTAAGGGACATTTTTTGACATATAAATCTATTTCGATCACTTCAAATTATAGACAGATTGAATTCTTATTCAATGGAAATTATACATATTTTATCCGCATATGTATGTTTGAAATTTGTGAACAAACAAATTTTCATACGCATGTTTCGCGCACGCAAAGGTCAAGCGAACCTATTCTGATTTTTTAAATAAATTTCTTAGTGAAGATTTTTACATATCAAGCTACCAACACATATAATATGTCTTGGCAAAACCGATTTAAAACCGACAAAATTATAAGATTTCCAAGCTAGCAATATAACATTTTAAACAACCCTCGACCAAACGATGTCGATCTTAAAGCCTATGGGATGAAGTATAATAATAAACACTGACTTCCCTAGAATATTTCTAGATAAAATATGCTTCGTATGTGGAAAATGTGAATATAAATAATAAAAAAATACTACGCTTATTAAACAACGAAATTGAATGGTGTTTAAACCTTATACTCCGGTTTAAAATAAAAGTACTTTTATTGTCGTCATTTCTAAACTTTGAATATTTTAGTTATTGTAATATAATATAGCACTATTATTTGAACTTTTCTCTTAAACACGGAAGCAAACTGGTTCAAAATCTTTACAAAAACTTTTATTACATGATTGTTTTTTATTCATTTTTAATACAATAAATAAACAATAAAATGTTTGAACTTTGAATAGTAATAAATCATACTTCAGTTTAGATGAAATTTATTGGAAATGTAATCCTCATCACTTATATTGAAGAAGTATAGACCTCTAATTTCATTTTAGATTATATGAAAATTATATTACATGTACATGTAATTACTTGATATTTTGAAAAATGTATAATACATTGATTATAGACAGGTTGATTTACAAACTGTTCACGGAAATTTCGTACGATTATGATGCGTATAAAATGAAGAATTGCCTGTACTGCGTTAGAAGAGGGTAGAATTTTTTTTGGAGAAAAAAGTATATATTAAGACGCTTGTACAAAAATGAAAGTTATAGCCATTTTTGACAGGAGGTTTCTTTATTAACAATTTACACTTTCTAATTTAAATAAAAATCACAGTATAATTCACGAGAGTATGACAATAATATATTTATAAAATTAATGTCTTATCGAAATAAAATGTAATTATACTGATATAAATGTTTACTTGTAGGTTATGGAAACATAACGCCTAAGACAATAGGCGGGCGTTTGCTGACAATCGTGTATGGAATAGGTGGTATCCCCTTAACCATGCTGTGTCTACATAACATAGGGAACCTGATGGCTGGCTGTTTCCGGTTAATTTACCGTCACGCTTGTATGAACATGACTTACCAATACATCAAACTAAAGCGTAAACGTATTAAGAAACGATTTATGAAGAGGTTACAAGGTAAGACAAAAGATATTCGCGACTGGGCCAGACGACAGCAGTCTCACGTGTCGTCAATTCTTCATCATAACCATATAGAGATTGATTCGATTGAAGAACAGGAAGTGAATGTTAACATGGAAACTGAACAGCTAGCTATTGATAAAAACAAAGAGCTTATAGAAGAACTTAAAGTTAAGGGTTCCGAATCCCGCTCTAAGCGAAACAGACGACACTCGGATAGTTTGTTAAAGGATACCATTCAAGTTACCCGAGGAAGAAAATATTCGTTATCACCTCATCACCGCTACGGTGCAGTGCATGCAAGTCATGATCTTTCGGTTATTCCGGAAGACGGACAACCAGATGTCACGATTGATGATATTGGCCATCATGAACGCAAACGAACGACATCAACTGACACTGATAATCACTCTAGAACAACAAGCTCTCTGTCGCTTACAGACTTTGAAGAAGATGAACGACTTTTGAAAACAAAACTGAAAGAAACACGTGATCTTGTTCCGATTTCCGTTTGCCTCCTTTTGGTAACCGGATACATCATGCTCGGTGCATTAATATTTGCATCCTGGGAAGAGTCATGGAATTTCCTTGTGGCGTTTTACTTTTGCTTTATAACGCTTACAACGATTGGCTTTGGTGACTTTGTTCCTGGAATGGGACGCTTGGACAATGATATGAAACGTGTGTTTGGAGCGATGTATTTGTTGTTTGGCATGGCATTACTGGCAATGTCTTTCCATTTGATCCAGGAAGAGGTGAGACATAAGTGTCGGAAACTTGCCGTGAAAATTGGATTGATAGAACACAGACTGACTGAACTACTCGACAAGTATGATAACAGTCAGACATTATAACAAGAAAAGTACATGAAATTTTAAGTGGTAATAGAATGCTACTTAAGTATACAAATAAAATTACTGCCTATTATACATAATGTCTTTTTAATTATGACTCTTGAACAAAAGTAGGTATTTAAAGCGCACATCACCCGTGGCTGTTTTAAATCAAGTGCATGAATAACATAAACTTTTATTTTATAGGGCTATAGTAAATATCCTCGGGCATTTAGCTTTTTTCTTCAGAATTCCGATACGTTGTCTCTGGTATTCGTATCAGAATAAATTTGTTCTATGAAATATTCCTGCAATTTTTATTTTGTCTTTTGTACTACATGTATTTACTGCTGTTTAAATCACTTCGCAATATTGAAAATAAAGATAGCTTCACGCAAACAATACAAAGCAAGGGCAAACCAAATAACCGTGTTGTATTATTGGTCAAAACAAGCCCAATGATAAATATATGTGTCCTGAAAGTCCAGGTGTCCTGAATCAACACTCAGTTTGCTGCATGTTGCTCTTAAACCAAGATGTCATTTTATCATGCGTACAGCAGTTCAGGACAACATTATTTTTTATAATTTGAACCAAACACGTTTAAAAAAGTGACATTGCAAATTAAAATAATGTAAAAACCTGTTAAGTGATGATTTTGTCATTGAAATGAAGCTATACTTGCGCAACAGAAAATGTAATTTTATATAAATTAAATGACTTGATAACGATTTGACAGAAAACAAGATTGCCACTTTGGATTAAATGATTTTATTCAGATAGTAACACATTATGTCCTAATTGATTATCAATAGATTCATAAGCATTTACTTGCCAGTTAACATAGAATGTTTTATATGTCTTATGATATAAATATTGTTACCTTGTAATATTTTGCCATTTGTTACTTAGTTTCAATATTAGGGTCTTATTGGTAAAGTAGTTGAAGACGTTTACCTTGAATTACTTGCCCCTCACCATTTGAGCCGTGTCACGACAAAACTACATAGTGCGTTTGCGACCAGCATGGATCCAGACCAGCCTGCGCATCCGCGCATTCTGATCAGGATCCATGCTGTTCGCTTACAAACCCTATTACAAGTAGAGAAACTGATAGCGAACAGCATGGATCCTGATCAGACTGCGCGGATGCTGGTTGCAAAAGCACTATGTTGGTTTTGTCGTGACGCGGCTCATTTATTATTAGAATTTCGCCGGCATTTGAGAGGATTATAGAAACTATCCAGCTAGCTAAAGGTATGTCGGCGATTCTACTTGGGTTTCCATTCTTGTTCGAGTAAAGCTGGAAAGTCATCATTCGATTTTTTAATATAAGAAATATAGGTAGAGGATAAACAACAGTTTCATTGCTTTCATCTTTTTTCCAAAAGAAATTAGAGCACACATACAATAGTTCATGTTTCTACTGTGATGCATAAACAAAGTGGAAAATACGAGTAATAGATTTATTCTTAGATATTTATTTGAAATGAATTCTCAAATAATGTTGTAAATCGTATCAAGCACTAACTTCCAACAAGATGGATTTATTGATAGCTCCATAATTCTTGACGAAATAATTGAAGATATTCATGGAGTTTAAAAAGTAAAAATGTAAACAGAATACATCGATATATTATTTTCATTATTGGCGTGTTTTCTACTTACTGTTATCATCTGTTCTGATTGCTATTGAAATATGCATTAAAACGACAATGAAATAATAATAAATACTTAATCATGAACAATTGTACGTTTTACAGAATAATATATAAGTACTTGTGAGTTGTAATTATCAGCAGGTGTTAATGTTAAGCGGAAATTAATCCTTAAATAGTGTCATAGATTTGCACTGTTTTAAATTTGTAACAATCTCTTTGATATTTAACGGATCTCAATATCAAAATACAAAAACTGAGCTGCCAACAACAATATAGGTAGCGGATGTTCAGGCTAATCTAGTTTGTAATGGCGACAAAGGATAGACATTTTCGAATCCTGCAGGTTACGGACAAGAAAAGCTGCATTAGCAGTGTAAGAAGTGTAAAACAAACTCAGTGTAATCGGGTTGAACGAGTTTGAATAATTAAAGTTTTCTGCTTTCAGCAGAGGATTAAAATGCAATACATCATTTAATTATAATAAAACAAAACTCGGCTTAAATATTTTAAGCTTCAGGAAATGTTTCTGTTTTATAAATTGTCGAATCATAATGTAATTTAAATCTTCTGATAATCAGATTGATAAATGAATATTATGATCTCTTCCTGAAAGAACAATCCGCAGCTGTCTACAATACGTCTGAACTTATGTTAGGCTACTGTATGTCACTATTGCCCTTTTTTGAAAAGCCTCTTTCTATGACATAGATGAGGAATTCTGTACGATGTAATATTTAGATGAAAACAAACATAAACAAGCAAACCGAGACATGGAATATCTCGATAAATATAGCAAGTATACTATTATTAGACCGGTTTGTGTTTTATAACATGACGACTTAGGGAATAACTCACGATCATTATTTCGATTAGGCTGATTTTTCTCCTGATATAAAAACACATTTCTGAACATCGATATTCTAAACATGGTAAACTTTACCTATTCGCTTTTTCGGAATTTTGTTAGACTGTTGTGTCTTATTTGGAAGGATGGATGCATTGCTTGGCCAATGGTCACTTACAACCTTGTTTGAGCCATTTGTATTTTACGTATGTTTTCGTGTTTAGTTTTTTGCTTGAGTTATGGAGAACCATATTAATACTGTATGATTAGAGAAATATTATGAATGAATACAGTGCGTGAAAGTAAGAATGTAAGTGTTTGAAAGATTGCCAAATTATTACTACAGAAAGAATAGAATTAAGATAAAAACAATTGATCAGAAAACGGGTCTGCTATATGTTTTAAAAATTTGTATGTTTTATATTGTATCAACGGGTACGATATTGTGAACAGCTCATGCAAAGCAAACGTGACAAAATGCAATATGATATATACACGTACTGATCTGTTGAAAGGATAACACATTTACATACTTTTATCTTATCTGTGATGTACATTGGAATATATTTATATATTTGCAAGAAATACGAGAATCGAAAAAAATGGGAGGACTTTCATATTTATATTTTTGATAATGTATTGAGCAAGTATTTTATTTTTGATAGTTAAAATACCAATGCATTAACGTTAGAACCGCTCTAATAGATAAATGTAGAAATGTTCGGGTTAAAATCCTAATATATGTGATATACACTGTGACATAGAAATTCAGTTTTGACTTAATATATTGAATATATAACTTTAATTCTGGTCAATAAATAAAGCTAGATATGTCTGTCTCTGTAACACAATTGGTTTGCGCGTTCGGCTGTTAACCGACAAGTTGTTGATTCAAGCTCACACAGGGACGTACAATGTTATGGAGTTGTTCCAGTCAGTTGGTCAGACATCTTTAAATGAAATATTTTCTATTCCATGATAAATGCAATGTAAATAATGTGAATAATCTTATAGAGTAAATTTGATTAATTCATAATAATAACGAATAAGATAGGTATTTGTCCAAAATTGTTTTATATCACAAAAGCAGAGAGGTAATTAATAAGTGAATCAACGATTTATAACGCATGGAAGGAAAAGGATTAAGGAACATGATCAAAGACACTTGTTAACTTAGAACCATATTTTACTTGATCAATATTTGACATCAGTGTCAATTTTTTTGATAAATTAACGTTCATTTATTCATTTTTAATTTGAGTGGCAAAAATTTTCATGTTGGATTTTTCATATATATGATTTACAATAATACTGATCAGAAACATATTGCTGAATTTCTTATTTCATCTACTTAACAATTTTTGAAAACCAAGCGATCCAACTTGGTTATGAGGTATGTGGCGCCGTTAAATGTCGCACTTGCCGCTAAATGTCACACCATTGCCGCTAAATGTCGCAACCGCCGCTAAATGTCGCAAAATCATTTGTCGTTAAATGTCGCAATGTTAACGTTAAGTGTCGCACGAATTTCCCTTATCATTAAATGTCGCAACACTACCGTTAAAATCATGATTAAAGTAGTATTATATAACTTTTTAACATTCTCATAGTTATTTTTATTGTAATTGCCATCTTTGTTTTACTTGTTTTCTTTTATGAACCTAAATATCGAGGTTTTGAGCTGCTATATAATGTAATATTTAGGCTAGAAAGGATAATTGATACTAAATTCTCAAGAGATAAGTATTTTTCTTTTGTT